TTTCTCTGTGTCGTTAATATCACCAATGGCGTTCTGCCGAAAGCAACAAATTGTTGCTATGCTTTTTGAACAGTACTTTACCGCTGCAATTGTTGAGTTGTGGTTCACGACACCGGTGACTACGGTAAATACTAATTTGAATTGCTATTTTTTGCAAATTACGATTTTCGACCAGCACTCCCAAAACTTGTTAGCTGCCTGCAACATGTGCTGACGGTATGGCGTCACAAAGTGTCAACCATCTGATGTTGTTTGTGCCATGATGCTATATCCGACAAAATTGTTTGCAGTTCAGCCAATGCTATCCGGTTAACATCTGTTGAATAAATTGATTTGTAAAATGAAAAAAAAAAAATTCATTTCCATTATTATTATTATTTCTTGGCATCTATTTTTATTCGTTTTAGGAACAGTATCTTTGTTACAAAGATGGTTCAGTTGTTCCAGGTACAAACTGGTAATTTTGATTTTGAATACAATTAGAATTTATTTGAACTTTTCTTTTCTTCTGTATATTATCCTAAAGTTGGCGATTTGGTTTCATAAAAATTGAATCGTTATGGTGATGACAGAAAAAAAAATTTTTTTTTATTTTTTCTTTTTTTCTTTTATTTGTTGATCATCTTTTTGTGTTTCTGTCTTGTACAACATACTGAAACCTACAAGAGATAATTTTAGGATTTTTCGAAAATTCCCAAAAAAATTTTTTTTCTTTTCGTTTTACCGCACAAAGTGTTTCTGCTGAACTTTGTGACAAAAGTTTAGCAGTTTCCTTTTATAAAGCCTCATGATATTCATATGATTAATAAACTTTTTTTTTTGCTTATTTTAATTGCGGTGTTTGCAAAGTATTTTTATTCGATTGATTATCATTTATTTTTAAGAAATACTTTTCATTCATCTGTCGGCTTTTTTTTTGTTAACTATTTGCCACATTTACATTATTTTTTTCTATCAGTTTTTTTGAACTTACATATTTAGCATTACTGAAGTGTATTCAAAGATTCGTTGTTGAAGGGAAGATTGTTTTATATATTTTTTTCTGAGTTTTAGGGATAATGATTTTTTTTAGACATGTTTATTTCAGCCGTTTTATTGATCTTTGATCGCTTCGTCAGCTGCTTTTAATTTACATTGTTTTCGGCAGTGGCTTATCAGCGCCTCTGAGAACTACAGCGCTGTATCTGTTGACGACAAAAGAGTACACGAAGTTTTGAACTGCTGGCACCATTTAGAGAGTTATATAAAAAAGAACTGTAAGAACTGATTGTGTCAAAGTGTAAAGTAGAAAGTGCTTAAAAAGTTTAATGTCGAATGTAAGACACTGGAATTTATAAAACAATGGGATCAGGAGGGAGGAAGAGCCAGTATAATAGGACTGTTGTAGGAACATAGGATTGTTTCTTTTTCTTCTAATGGTCAGGGTTTCTTGCGTTTATTTCAAAAACTTGACTTTTTTTTATTAATAGCTTTGAAATGTTGGTTTAGAAGTTTTACGTTATTTAGCTACCACATATTTTTCTTTTATATATTTAAAATCATGCCATCGTTTCTATCGACCACTTTATTTTCTTTATATTTGTCCGCGGTCTAGTTGTAATTGAACTAATTCGAGTAGGTCAGATAAGTTCATATTTTATAAATTTCAGGGTTAATTCCTACGTGAATTGGACATGCAGATTTAAGAACAAATTTCGTTTTCAAATACCCGTGTGCTTTCAAAGTTCCTCTTTTGCTTTTACGGACACCTTGGTCTGACCGCAGTATGGCTCGTAAATTTCGGCATAGAGTAAATGCAAAGGCCATACGACGCATTCCAAAGGGAATGAGGTTGTCTTTTCACAGTGAAACTTCCTCAGGTTTTCTCGTTGTAGACGCTCTAAACGTATTTTTTATGCCTATT